GGTGAATCTTTTCGCATCACTTTTTTCTTTACCATTTTTATCGGTTCGATCTGTCTTCTATAGTAGTTGCTAGCAGATAACCTAAAAGCGTGGCTAAAAATTCCCTAGTTTGAGTTCTCATTGTGAGGAAATCGTGAAATTGTGATTGTTTGTTTGTTAAGGCGTGTCATCTCTCCTGCGACTTCAGAATGATCAACGGAAGTGAAGTGGGCTTGAAGAGCTCGCCGTATAGACGCACTAACAACGACCTCGAGGCGGCTAACAATCGCCGAGAGTTTGGTGAGGGGGAAGATGAAGGTTCAGGACCATTCGATATTGTTCGAACTAAAAGTGCTCCGGTGGATCGGTTGCGGAGGTGGAGAGTAAGTCTGTTGCATTATTTATTTATTTATTTATTTTTCCCACTGAATTTTGATTGATCTTGTTTTTGATTCTGTTATTTTCTCAAAAGCATACCCAAGAATAATTTTCTCGATTGAGTGAAATTGGCAAATGAAGTGGAACAGAAAATACTACTGTTATTTATTTACTTATTATTATTATTATTTTTTGTGTAGAATGCATTTTGGAATAGTAAATTGTTGGAGAGTGTGGTGATTAAAGCGAAGGAAAAGTTTTCGTGCCATGTCTAATATAATTTTATTGGAGGATGTGGTTGAAAAAAAGAGGGAGAAAAATGTATTTTGAAAAAGTAGAATCGAATAAGGTTATAAATAGATGTGAAATTGAGGAAATTCAAAATTTGAATGCTATTGAATTTTCACGCACTGCCTTTTCCTTACATTTCAGTTATGAGTTTTCTACCATTCTATTGCATTAAACCTCTGTTTGATATCCTTTATTTCAACCCTCTTTTTTCTATGTACTCTATCAACTACACACCCAACACAAAAAACTGTTAAAACCCAAAAATTTCCTTTACCTTTTAAGTTTTAACTCCCACAATCTCCATAAATTCACTATTCAAAATACTGTTTCTGCCAAATAATGGCCATCAAACGGGGGCTAAATACAACAGGCTGTGAAGGGTATCAGCTTCACTCTATTTTTTATAATTCTTGTGGCTTATGGAGTCCGTGGATAAATTGAGTGTCTGCAGTATAAGGGGATTATTTTCAGAATAAAATTAGTTGCCATCTATGATGTTTGAATGTGGTCGTGTGCAAGGACGAACAGTTTTGGATATTGCTATCATTGATACTGCTATCATTAAGACAGGGTTTGTTAACTAAGACACAGGATACAAGGTTAAGAGGGGACTAGATAAGTTTTTTAAATGCCTCTGATTTGCTCTCTCATGTTGTCTGAACGTTGGTTCATATCCCAAACTGCAGAAAGCCAGTGTCCGGTGCATGGCAGATAAGAATTATTTTTGAAGTACTGACCACTATGGTCTTTTGGAATTGTTTTAATGACATACCTATCCATATATGATCTTCATATTTGTGACTGGAAGTGTGATGTTTGTATCACGCCACTGTTGCTTTGGACTTCTTATGTCTTTTAACCAGAGGTTGATCAAATGACCTAGAATTCAGCTAGTTGTTTGGTGAACAAAAAGAAATGATGTTTTACCCCATCCGAAAATTCCCAGATTGACCTTTTACGATCCTATATTTGATTGAAAAGCATTAGTCAACAAGTTTTTCAGTTATCACGTTAAATTCGATTATTTTAAATCACATTTAGAATGTCAGTAAGTTGTTTGGCTAGCATGAAAAATGTGATAACCTTGTCCAAATATTAAATCTCGACTGATTACTAAGTTATTATTTTCCTAAAAGGATGCACTGACTATTTCCTAATCTGCTTTTGTACTGACTATTTAAACAATCACAGTTATTCCATATTGTGGAACCAAACAGGGTCATATCACTGGCTTTATATCTAGAATGAAAGAATTTATATTTTTGACAAATGTTTTCCTCCACTGAGTGATCCAAATTCTGTGTTCGTTGCATGCAAGCCATGCGGATATTTTCCGATTACATTGTGCAAGGATGATTAGGCATGACAAATGATTAATAGGAAAATCACTCCCCAAGTGTAAATGGAACAGGCAAAAAGTGGTTTTTGTGAGAAATGATAAGATGAGGGAACTGATGGTGTTTGGTGTAGTTCTCCCAGTTCCACGATATTTATCTCTGGAAACTGATTATGGATTTAATCTTGTTACCATCTATGTCCTGCTTCTAAAATGAATATAAAACTACATTAACTGTATACTTTATGCTGCATAATGATGTGTTAGTACTTAGTATTGCTTGTATATGTATATGGTTATCTAAGGAGACGTTCAATCTTTGATCTAAAATTAATTGTATTCTCCCTAGCAAGCTGCACTTGTCCTGAATGCTTCTCGCCGATTTCGGTATACGTTGGACCTGAAAAAAGAAGAAGAGAGGAAGCAACTAATTGCGAAGATTAGAATGCATGCTCAAGTCATTCGGGTAAACCATACTTCTTTCTTTATTAGGTGAAGTTTATTGAGTTTGTCATCAATTCTTAATCAATTTTGCTTCAACAGGCTGCTGTTCTCTTCCAAGCAGCTGGCGAAGGAGTGAATGGTAATTCTTGTTCTTTGTACCGTGGCATGTAATGAATTGACTAGAGGTTAAATTTCAATAGATAGCACCAAGCGGCAGATTTTCCATATAATGAAGAACGCACGTTTTTCCCCTGTGCTCCTATGAATATTGGCATCAATGTGATAAATTACCATCTTCATTGTTATTCTCATATTTCGTGTTTAAGCTTGTAACTGCAAGCTGTGTCACTCTAAACTGGGAGACGAAAATGTCTGGCTTTTTCATAGTTATTGTTTTCTTCTTCCAGGTAGTTTATATATTAACTCATATACAACTTGCAAGTTTGTGTATTTGTTTAAATTATTGATTGTTTGACATTTCCCATCCTGCTCTGATCTTGATATTTGATTCACACAGTATGGTCTCTAGACCGACAAAGAATGTTATTGCTCTTTGTTTGATTATTGGTACTGAATATACATTTCTGCATTTTAGAGCCAGGAGTGCCGAAGAAACTGCCTTCAATACAGGGCCATGTCAGCGATTTTGATGTTAGCTTAGAGGAGCTAGTTTCAATGTCCCGTGAGCACGATCTTTCTCTGCTGGAGCAACAAGGAGGGGCAAGTCCACCGTCTCACATTTTAACTTTGTCCTCTTTTCTTTTGCAAAACTGCAATATTATTGTCATTATTACTCCACATTGTCTTGAATTCTTTTTATTTTTCCCCTTTGTCCTTGGCATCAGGTCAAAGGAGTCGCTGATAAAGTAAAATCAAATTTGGAGAAAGGTGTACCTGCAAACGAGACTGATCTCATAAGCAGAACAAAAGCTTTTGGATCAAACACATATCCTCGGAAAAAAGGCAGGAGTTTCTGGGTAAGTATTGAAAGTCCCAATTTCGAAGCTGCAATTGTTCATTGTCTTTACTGGTAAACATTCTCATATGAATAAATATGTGAAATTATTTTCTTTTCTTCGTTTATCTAAAGAGGTTTCTTTGGGAGGCTTGTCGAGACACAACTCTGATTATCTTGATGGTTGCTGCAGCTGCTTCTTTGGCACTGGGCATAAAGTCTGAGGTAAGGCCAGGAGGTGACAAAAGAAACTATTTATTAAATTTTGATTGCATAACAGAGAGAAGTATACTTTCCTTTTATACAATTTATAAAGATTACATGTCACACTACCTGTGCACTGTGCAGCATCTAATTGATTGTCTTCACATCTTCAACTGTGAGCCTTTTCTTCTTGATGAGCATTAGTTTTTCACCTTGACATTTTCTGCAGAGAAGCAATGTGATTGCTGATTGGAAGATGCCATGCTGATTGGAAGATGCCATTCTACTTTTATATTTATATGAAATGTTCTGTGTTTGATTTAAATCCGTAGGCTTGGTTGAATCAATCTAATATGGTATTGTTAATTTGTCATTTTTGACGAATTGTTTGGTATCAAAAAGTACTGAATAGTTCGTACTTATTGTCATTGTTTTTACAAGTATACTAAAGAATGTAGGATTTATAGCCTTATATTTTTGTGCCGTTTCAATATGTTTGCATGTGTTTATGATATGCTTTATTGCGGGATGTTGTTGACCTCGTCTCACTTTTGACTACTTTACCAATGTTTAAAAGTTTTATGTGATAAGAAGTGCAATAGATTGGAGGTATATGCTAATGCAATTAACTCTTTTATTGTTCGTCCTGTGGTTGAACACAATTTTCATTCTCCATTCTCACTTTGTGGAATTTCGATTAAGAGGAATCCATGTCATGACATTGAGTGAGCTGGTGGACTTGAGATTTTAAGTGTCACTGTATAGATGCTTTCTGTCTGTGTGTTTATTCTCTTTGAAATTCATGTTTTGTGACTTCTTGGGTTAGTGTTATGCTTGTCCCCTTGGGGGCATTGTCAACTTTAGGCAGTTATGAGATGTGTACTTACTTTTACCATATTGCAGCTGTAAGTGATTACCGACAATCCCTCCAATTCCAAAATTTAAACGAAGAGAAGCAAAATATACACATGGAGGTAGGTATTATACACTTTGGATTAGTTCCTTTTCCCTCCCTTTCGCTTTTTTCCTCACATTTCCTGTAATTTTATACAGGTCGTTAGGGGTGGGAGGAGAATTAAGGTTTCTATTTTTGATATAGTTGTTGGTGATGTTGTGCCTCTCAAAATTGGTGATCAGGTGAATGAGAAGACCTCTTTCTCCCATTCAAAATGAAGCGCTTTTTCTATCAATGTTACTTATAATCTTCTTTACTTTTTCCTGAATATGTTAATAGGTCCCTGCAGATGGAATTCTAATCACTGGTCATTCCCTTGCGATTGATGAATCAA